AAAAGTTTCTCAACCACGGCATGGACTTTCTGGGTGCAGTGACTCTCTCATCACTGTAATGGTCAAGAGGTGGCTGGATATGGCCGAAAGGACACGCATGGCAGGTGGTGATACAGATCAGGTTAATCTGAAACCCTGAGATTCTGGGGGCTGCAAACCCAAATGCCTTCACAGAGTGCAAGGCAGCCAGCTGTAGGGGGCAGTATTGAGCTGGAGAGGGCTTGCTCCTGGATAAAGGCATTCAAATTTTAAAAACAATCACCCCAGCCCTGGCTGGGTTTGTTCAATGGTTAGAGCATCGGCCTGCAGACTGGAGAGTCACGGGTACGATTCTAGTAAGGGCACATACCTTGGTTGCAGTTTGGGCCTGGGCCCTGGCCCTGGTTGGGGTTGTGCAAGAAGCAACCAATCAATGTATCTCTCTCACATTGATATTTCTCTCTCTCTCCCCCACCTCTCACCCCCTCCCCCCTCTCCCTCCCTCCCTCCCTCCCTCCCTCCCTCCCTCCCACTCTATCTGAAGATAAATGGAAAAATATCCTCAGGTGAAGATTTAAAATATAATAAAATAAAATAAAATAAAAACAATCACCCTAGATATAAAGGTAGGCAGGATTCTCAGGGAAGTTCGCAAGTCTTGTTTTATGAATCATTCCAAGTCAGAGACTGCCTACTCAACTCCTGCATACAGTGAGACCTGTCCGTTAGGGGGCGTGCCTCTTCAGAAACTATTTTAAGTGGAGTTTAATTCTGAATTATTTAGGGGAATTCCCTGCCAGAGAAACGCTAGCTGGAGTAGGCACGTATGCATGTACGTACTTATACTGCACTATTATAACCCTTCTAACCATTCTCACTCTCTCCTGGGGTTTTCCTAGTAGTCAAAATAATGGTTAGCTTCCTTGTTGGTACTTTGTTTTCCAAAGGTGACATTACTTTCCTAATGCACACTGCATGCACACTAGGAGATTGTCCTAAGCCTCGAAGGCATTCTGATGCCAGTCACCCAGCCCCACTCTTGGAGAAATGCCAGTGCAGACAGAGACTTCGAGTGGAAAAAGCTTCATCTCTTCCTGTCATGCACTTCATGTCAGTTTCTGTATTAAGAAGAGTTGCTCATCTCTTCCAGCATGTGGACCGTAATGAGTCTCTCCAACAAGCATGTTAGAAGCACCTTGTCTTTCTCCCAAACTCTTGAATCATTCACTGTTCTGAATCCATTATAGTAGTTGCTCATTAACTTTGAAGAAAGTATTAGCCCCTTGTTTGGCCAAAGCAGCTCGGCAATGTCTGTGGGTTTGGTTCCAGGAAGCAGAAAGGAACATAATTATTTCCCTCCATCCCCATTCCTCAATGTCCCTAGGGAAGTGTCCCCTCCCCGTGGTGCCTCAAGTGACTTCACGGTGCTCACTGTTGCTATCTGATAGGGTTTCACAAGCGGGGCAATGCATTCTTAGAGATTCAGAGCCATCAACACAATGATGATAAGTTGACAAAGGTGTTTTTGCTCACAATTCCTGTTCCTATTCACTGAGAAAGGAAAAACCACCCCAGTTTAGGCTGAAAATATTTATACTATTTCTTGTCCATGTATGATATAGATAGATCACCAAAGAGAATATACAAATGTCCAAAAGGCATAAGAAATTATACCCAACTTCAACACCCATCAGGACAATACAAACTAAACTCATACCCACTTCACTCAATCCGAGTGGCTAAAATGGAAAAGATAGACAATAGCAAGTGCCAGTGAGGACGTGGAGCAACTGGAACTCTCACACCTGCTGACGGGAGTGTAAACAGTGTGATCACTTTGAAAAGTTGTGTGGCAGAATCTACTAAAGCTGAATATACACATAACCTGTGACCCAGAAACTTCGTTCTTCAGTGTTTCCAACAGAAAGGCATACCCAAGAATGGTCAACAGTAGTCTTCACACCAACCCCAATCTGGAAGCGATTTGAATGTCCACCAATAATTAAATGGAAACATTTGAAATATACATACAGAGGACTATTATATGGCTCCATTTATATAAAATATTAAAATAGGCTGAATTAAGCAATGTTAGACATTAAAATAGTGGTTACCTAGTGGGTAGTGACTGGGAAGGGGACGGGGGAGGATCTTCTGGGGGACTGGTAATGTCTTGTTTGATCTGGTTGGCGGTTACATGGGTGTGAAATTTTTGAAAATTCATTGAGCTGTACTCCCTTGTTTTCACTCTTCTGTATATACATTATATTTTTCTTTATTGATTTTAGAGAGAGGGGAAGGGAGAGGGAGAGAGAGATAGAAACATCTATGAGAAAGAACATCAATTGGCTGCCTCCTGCGTGTCCCCCACTGGGGATTGGGCCCACAACCTGGCATGTGCCCTGACCAGGAATCAAACCGGCAACCTCTTGGTGCATGGGTCGACGCTCAACCACTGAGCCACACCAGCCGGGCGATATACACATTATATTTCAACACAAGGTTACAAAAATTAATGTGGAGCAGTCTCTCGGCTTCTCAGTTGTGGCTCTGTCCTCTTGTTTTATTTTCATATTGCTGACTAGAATCTAGATATATGTTTTGCAGGGTCCTGGGGAGGTAGGTCATGAGATAAGCTTGATTCTCTCCCAGCACCAGGCCAAATGGGTCCTGCCAGGACCAACAAGTCGGATAGTCAGAGGCAGATGCCTAGAGATGGCAGTGGTCTTACAAATAATTTTACAGGTCTCAGGAATGGAAACCGAGGCCTACAAAAATAAAGTTCATTAAATGTTGAATGGTGGGACAGAACCTGAGTTTTATGATTCCAGTTTATATCAGCCTTATCCACAGGCAGGTGTGATTATCACTCACCTCTTTCACCTCCAGCACAAGGGTGAAAATTAACTTGCCTCATTCTTATCTGTTAAGTGCTCATTTGCTCTCTGCTCAAAGGAGCCCGGCCAGTGTGGCTCAGTGGTTGAGTACCAACCCATGCACCAAGAGGTCGCCGGTTCGATTCCCGGTCAGGGCACATGCCCAGGTTGTGGGCCAATCCCCAGTGGGGGGGCATGCAGGAGGCGGCCAATTGATGTTCTCTCTCATCGATGTTTCTCTTTCCCTCTCCTTTCCTCTCTCTCTCTCTCATATCAATAAAGAAAAAAAATTTATTAAGAAAATCTCCTCCTTAGGAGAAATAATCCCAACATCAGTTAATATGAGACAACTGACCAGATTTCCTATCCCTCCCAGAGCGGGGAATCCCGAGAGCCCAACAGGAGGAGACCGTGTTTTGCGGGAACTGGCTCACGCAGCGACCGTTCCCTTCCAGGGACAGCTGCAGCTCTTCCCATGGAAGAAGCCACCTCATCCCACAGCACTGTCGCCTAAGCCCTCCTTATCCCCGTGTCAGAGATGAGGAAACTACACAAAGACGAGCAACTAGCCCAAGGTCCTACTGGTAAGTGCTGGTATGAGAATGACCCTGACCAGATGGCTCTTAACCACTGTTGTGTGGAAGGGGGGTGCTTAAGCCACTGTGGTGGGTGGACTCCTTCTGAGGACATGAGGACACTGGAATAGACAGAAGAGAGGGAAATGTGGGAGGGTAACCCCCAAAGAGCAGGAAACTCATAACAAAACACACACAAAAAAAAACAAGAGATATTCGCGTTTGTGCACACACACGTATGTGTCTATAACCATGGCACAATATACAGGTTATTAAAGGGCCACATTGATCATTTAAATAGATGAAGTTTAATTAGGAGCTGTTAAAAGTTTATTTCACTCTATACTTTGAAACTATACCAAAGAATATCATAACTCTGGTGGTGATGAAAGATTTTAGCTAAATTTCAAGCCCAAATATGGGGAAAACAATTTAAATAGTAAAGTTTCAACTAGCCAGGAATGTGGGAGTCCTCATTCCCCGGCCCCTAAGCCACTCTTACTTTGTACTATGATGGACCATGTACATTATTGACCACGTACGCAACTGAGCTTCCCACATTCTCCTTCTTCTAGTCATATCAGGCCATGACCATCATGTATCTCTGCACACATACATACACACACACTCCTGTCAGTTCAAGGTACTTCTCAATTGCAACACAGAATGAAATCAACCCCAAACACCATGTACTGCCTCATGTATTTGATTGCGTTCTGAGACAAGTATCATTTTCACAAATATTCTTGGTCCGGAGCTCAGCAGAGGAGAAAGAACATATGTCTCAAATGCTTCTGAGCATTCTGCTTCCCTGGATGGCACACTTCTCTCTGCCATGCCCACGGACCCACCACACTCTACAAGGACATCTTACATGAGCCGGACACAAACAGACCGGCTCCAAGAACACAAAAGGCCTCCCTTCTCCACAAAGGTCGGGCTTAGCAGGGCTGCTGAGCGCAACTTTGCACTGAAATCCAGTTTCCCGGTTTCAGAACATCGTGGAGGCATGCAGCTCGTTAGATTTATTTAATGCCTGGTCTCTCAAGACCACAATGCGAATGGCATCCATCAACTTAATTTCCTTGGGGATTGTCTCAAACATGGGGAATGAAGAGGCCCAGACCATTAAACATCAAAAGAAATGTCCTAAATGGTCATTAAAGTTCTATTATATTTTCTCTTTCTGGGAGCAGATTAGATTAATTCAATTGAGAATATAATAAGTATCAAAGCTAACAGTGTGAATGGGTCGAGCTGGCTGGAAGAGCATTTAATATTGCAGACATCTGTTCATTTAAGTTGTACGAAATGCACAGAAAGAGGGGGTCGTCGCCAAGTGCGGGGTACTCACCAAGCCGGCGCAGGTAGACACAGCGACGGAGGAGGAGCTGTCATTTCTGATAAATCCCTGATAGAAACATCGCTGCACCCTGGGTCCCCAAGTCTCGGAAGCACCGTCTTTTCCAAGTACATGGACAATAAATTGACCACTCAAAATCGCCGAGGGCTTCAGTTCTAAATGGAGTTCCTGTCCAAATGCTGAAAATCGGTAATGCAGGGAGCTGCTGGCACTCTGAGCGGACCGCTTTCTCCTGCCGCTGTGCGAAATGTCGTGTGAAATATACGACCCGCCCGCGTCCACTTCCACCGGCGTGACAAAGACGTAATCTGCAAGGGGAAAGGTTTTGCTGTCAGCACCCAGAGCCCACGGTGCCAACCCAGCACTGCTAACAGGCTGGCAAAGAGCAACGCACAGCTCACGGATATTTTTGTTCCTATGGCCATGCGTCTACGTGCGATATAATTCAGAGGAGAACCCTGTGGACTTCACAATTAGCTCTGCCTCAGTAATTCCTATAAAAACTAAAAGCCAAGTGCAATGTTGATGAATGTCAAGAATGTTTGTGGAAAAGGCCACAAACTCTCCTGGTCTGGGGATAGATGGACTCTTCATTCATTCATAAAAGCTGACTCTTTTTTTTTTGGAGACAAAATGAATAAATCTAAAACTAAGAAAATAAAGCAATAAGACGTTTTTCAAGGAGATTACTATCTTAGTGCTTAACCTAAATTGGGAGCATTTTGGGGGTGGGGACAGAATTTAAATTTCCAATGATAACTCACAGAGCTGAGTAACTTGAGAGAATACCTCCAAAAATGAACAAGTAACTATAGTTTCCTATTCCCAATATTAATTACACATGACAATAAAACTCCAGAACTTGTAGCACTCTTAACATTTTACTATGAACTTTCACAGGGACCATCCCATTTAATGGTAAGCACAAAATATCGTGGGTGCATAAAAATGCCTCAACATTGTCAGTACTTTTCCTACACAGTCTGATGTTTAAAGTTGCTCAGACATGTTGTCAGATCAGGGACACCTGGAAAGGCATGTTTAGAAATACCTTCACCATTGCTCCCTAGAGCAGCACTAATTGCTGCTTGTTCCAAAGGAGGAGGAGCTAAAAAACAATTTGCTGCTTGGGGAAAAAAAAAAAAAAAAAAAATGAAGCCAGCACACTGCTTTCTATCACAAAACATTGAGACGGAAAGGTATCATCCCACAAGATGATTTGGAATATGCCCTCTGTGCATTAAAAAGCACTCTGCACTTCTACTTTCTAGGCACAGAATGGGAAACTAATTTGGGAAAGTGTTTAGAAAAGATTCTGAATAACTAAGAGGCATGTCTGAGTCACTTGGGTCCTTGGTTAGAGAAGGAAGAAAAGAGGAATTTTCCTTTTCCCAAAATAGTAAAAAAAAAAAAAGAAGAAAAAAAAAAGGTAAAGAAGCCCTATAGCTAACAGGAATCATTAAGTATTATTATGTTTGCAGGAAAACAAAAGCAAAAATCATGCCAATATGACAATTTTTAAATGTTTTCTTCTGTGACTCTTATTGCTTGAGCAATTCTCCCGATATTCTTTATATCTGACTCTCTCATTCTCTCTTTGACTCCTTTAACTGGAAATACTATTGAATGGGCATACATTTTTTAAAAAATTTTTTTGGGAAAAAAAAAGCTTTTTTCCTCTCTTTATCTTAAACAGAGCAAGTGTACACTATTTCTCTTAAAAATATCTATTATGATGCTTTACAGGTATGTGGCTTTTGATACAATGTAGCCTTTTCTTAGTGAAAAAAACACTTCTTCCTTTACTAAAACCTAACTGTGAAAACCATCTCTGACACATGTATCGGAGTTTCTACAATAAGCTGTTTCTTACCTCCTTGTCCAGAACCATCATACACTCCACCTGCTCTTAGCTGGGAGGCCATGTGCAAGCCTTATGCAACCAACCTTTAATGGAATCAGCCCAAAAAGTCAACCCCCCCCCCTCCGCAACCCCACCCACTCAGACACCAACACCTGCTGCTAGTTTGTTTCCAAAGGGAGAATGAGCAGCCTGATGATAATATTCAGTCCTTAATGGGAAGAGGGGCATAGAGAGGCCCCTGTAGAGAATGAACTGATCAATCAGCTCAGGGGCTGATTAAAGATGAGGTCCTTACAGGTGGTAGCTGGACCAGAGGGGGCCTGCAGCCATTTGAGCAGATGGGACAATGGGAGGTTGTTTTAAAAATTGCAGCCAGCCTTTCTGGTTGGACCAAAGGTGAACTTCTCAAGAGCTAATTCCTGACTCTGTCCTGTTCCTTCACTCGCCCACCCCCTATCACAGCCCTTCTCCACCATTCCCCTGTCCCCAATATGATCCCGTGTCCCCTGATAGAAGATAACTGCAAGGCCAAAAATGAGAGAACCTAGTTGGACAGCAAGGTCTTGCTAGACGCCTTGGATCAGGAATCAGCTGTTCCATGGCAGGTGGGAACATGGAAACAAGGATTTCCTGCTGGGCACCATCAGAAGTTAAATGCCAGAAGTGAAGGATGTTCTGGAGGTTTTCCGCTGGGGAACCTTGGAAGAGAGAAAGACCCGGAGACCTCAGGCTATCTTCTTCCCTCTAACAGTGGTCTTTGGGGATCCAGGACACAAGGGCAAAGAAACCCAGAGGAGAGGAAAGGAGAAGTAGAGAAGAGAGAGCAGGAAAGGGCTTCATATTCTTTCATCCCTCATCAAGACTCAGTCTGCCCGCTTTCCCAGAAGAGGAAGGAGAGGAGGAAGGTGCCTTTTGATATCAACCGCCTAGTCCATGTCCACTTCCTTTCCAATTTCTCACGGCAGTACGATTTTATTATTTTTTTTAAAAAAGCCATCTGTGAACAAGGGAAAGTATTGTTTTCTCATTTATGTGACTTGAAGCTTGAGGCATTGATTCTTTTGATAAGTTCAGAGTCCCTGCCACATCCCCCCTCTACAAACAGGAACCATTTCCAAGACGCGCGCACACCTGCCACGTTGGGGGCGCAGGGGTGGGGGTAAGACTTTTTACCTTCTCTCTCTTTGGGGGGGAAAGAAGGGACACAATGCCTGGACAGACTTCTGGGGGTGGGGGGACAGATACGAACCATCCTTTAATCCGCTGCCGCCGCTGTTGCTGTCACTGGCTAAGGCTGCGGCGACCGACGCACAGCAGAGGCAGCACAGCTGGAGCGCCTGCAAGAGAAAAGGTGACATCGCGCGTGAAGGGCGCGGTGGGGCTTGCACCTGGCGCCCCCTGCCACCCGCTCTCGGCGCGCCCCTCGGCGGGCACCTGCCTTGGCCACGCGCCCCAGTCCCGCCGGAGCCCACGGCGGGCCCGCGCCGGCGGCGGGGAGGGCGCACGCGAGCAGGAGGGCGCACTCCATGGTCAGGTGCGGGCGCGGTGGCTGCGGACGGCGCGCATTCTCCCCGCCGCCCCGGAGCGCGGCGCTCCAGGTGCGGCGCCAGGTGGGAGCCGCCGCCGCCGCTCACATCGCGGGTCGGGCGCGCCGGGGCCTCCCAGCCTCCGACCGCCTGCGCGCCCTCCCTTCTGCCGGCGCCGGCTGCGGAGCTGCCGCCTGCGGCTCCCCGCGGGGAATGGGGGGCTCCCCGGGCCGGGGCTGGAGCGCGCCTCCGAGCGCAAACAGCTGGGGGACTCTGTCCGTGCCTGCCCGCGCGCTTGCCCGCCAGTCTGTGCGTCTGTCTGGGTCTGTGCGAGCGTCTGAGGCTCCCAGGGAAAGCAGCGCCAGCTGGCTCCCCCAGCGCGCCGGAGCCGAGCGCCCGCCTCTCCACCGCACGGTGATTGGCGACCAGCGGCTCCTGGGCCCGTCCGAGCCCCCGGGCTGGTGCAAGGGCGTGGGATTCCCGGCTCCCGCTCCGAGGGAGGGGGTGGAGGGGGAGGGGGGCTGGGTGAGCGCGAGGGGGAGGGAGGGAGGGACCCACCGCCGAGAGAGAGCGCGGAGCGCCCTGGGTCAGGCTTGGAAAACGTAATTTAAGCGCCCGAAGAGATGAGCTGAGAAAGGGGGAGGCTCAGGTAAGTGGCGCGACTTTCTTGCTGCCTGTGCAGACTTCTCTTTGACAAGTCTTCTGGGTGGCAAGACAGACAAGGTATTGAGCATTTCCAACACCTCTCAAGTGCCAGGTGCTATCCCCTGCTTTATCTAATTTACCTTGGGCCCTATCCTTGCAAAGGTGGGAAATATTAACTCCTTGATAAAGATGAAGAAACCGGGCTCAGATGGGCTCAAGATTGCCTCACATATATAATTTCGAAACTCGCAAATGCAGGCAACCTGGAGGGCTGCAGCTCTGAGCCTTGCCAACTGTCTGCAGCATGACTGAGGGGACTGGGGTGGTGAGCACTCAGTAGCGTGCACAGATGTCATATTGTAAAGTGGTAACATTATATCATGTTAGTATCCAATGCTATTCCAATAAATTAAAACGCACTCAGCCTTCTGGCAGTGGCCTCACCTCTGCTAATCTTTCTCTCCTCTCCAAGTGCCCATACTTCCAGCTCCTGCGGATGGAATCCTGGCCCCAAACACACCGATCTGCAGAAATCAGCTGTAACAAACAGTGCCGCCGTCACCACGGGCGTGCATCCCATTTGCAGTGTGCCTGTTCATGGACTCAAAACATGTATTTGATCCCCACTGTTTGCAGTGATGAGCAAAATATATTCTCACAGGCTGCCATGACGGAAAAGTTGCCAGCCAGAGTGAGAGGCAGAAACAGATGGCCGGGTCAAGAGAACCTTGTAGGCTGGTGTAGAGCATGTAGGAGTCAGTTAGATTTAAGTGTGTGTGTGTGTGTGTGTGTGTGTGTGTGTGTGAGAGAGAGAGAGAGAGAGAGAGAGAATGTATGTGTTGGAGGCAATATATGGTCATGTGTGGATGTGGGTTGGAAGTGCCAAGCAGAGGGGAAGTCGCTGCTAGAATCACGGTGAGTAATGATGGTATCTTTCCTGGACCAGGGTGGTGGCAGTGGGTGGGCGTATCCCCTGCCCCGGTCCTCAGGGTGCTGAGGTGGTTAAGATGAGGTCCATGTCACAGCTTAGAACAAGTGACAGCTCCACATGGATAAGCCCATTTTACTGGCTCCCGCGCTGGAGAGGTAACTCTGGGTTGAGAGGCAGAGCGAGAGGCACAGCCCCTGCCCAGGGCGAGTTCTCTGGACTGACCTCACAGTGAGAACTCCACTTCGACAAGACTCAGCTTTCCCTACACAACCTGTTTGAGCTCCATAGCCTCTATTTTACGATCTGTAGAATAGGAATAAAAGTAAAACATCAAAAGAATATCCCAAGGATTACGTGACTATGTTTTCCTGAGCTCTATAAATGGGGTTTTAAGGTTAGAAGAGAGGATCCCCTGTGATTCTGGTACTTTGTAGATCCTACGTCAACTTGGATGGGCACAAAAGTCACCTGTGCTGCTGGCTTGAAATGCAGATTTCTGAACCATGAGCCATGGAAATTCTGGTCCGGTAGATTGGCGTAGGCCCTGAAAATGCATCTGTAGCAAGCACCTCTGGGTGATTCTGACACAGGTGACTTCGGTGCGTTATGTGATGTCAGTAAATAGCTGGACATTAAGGACATGCAGTAAACACAGTGCTTAGAGTCATGTCACCAAGCAACAGACTAGATAGGAAAGGAGACGGGTAGGCAGCACTGAATTATATCGCCAGGTGAACACTAAGGGAAGCTGGAAGGGTAAATGGTTTGTTCAGTTCCACTGAAAGTAACCCTGTCCCTCATTTGCATCTCTCCACTGAGATACATTTGCATGAAGTCATTCATCCCCCTTGGGCTGCCCTCTTCTGTAGCCCGTAATAGAGGTTTCTCACTAAGGCCAGGTCCAGAGTCTCAGGGACCCACTCTAAGACACTCGGCTAGATTGTGGTGTTTGTCAACCCCAGCACCACTGACACTTGGGACTGGATCAGTCTTTGTGCTGGGGGCTGTCCTGTGCTTTATAGGGTGTTCAGCACCCCCACAATTGTGACAAGATGTTGTGACATTGCCAGATGTCCTTGAGGAGCAAAATCGCCCCTGGTGAGAACCCGAGTGAACAGTGTTATCGCAATCCTGTTCTGCGGTCTTTTTCTCCATCGACCTGGAGCTTCATAGCCTCTCATTCAACTGAACAAGGATTAGTTGAGTGCACAAGAGGAGGGACTGGAGACCTCCTCTTGAACCCAATAATGTAAGAGCCCCATCCCCACTGATTTTGCAGCTCTTCTCCCACACCCCAGTGTACCTTTGTACTTGGTAGATCCCACCTCTCCATGATTTAGTATAGAAACCAAGACCGATTTCTCACATGTTAGTACATCTAGAGATCAAAACTTCCAATTCCATTTATTTGAAGATGACCAGGTCCAATTTCTTCTGTAGGGCTGATACACAAACACTGCAGAGCCATAACTTCTGGAATGATTTCATGCCTTCAACATTCCAGGAACTGTCCCTGCAATATGTATAAATTGTCTCTAGATGGTGACAGAGAGTCATGAGCAAAAGGTTTGAATTGCAGTTTGAATTGCAACGTAGCACCTGGCCTCTAAGTTACTTGGAAATACAAATCTGAGCTGATTTTTAAACTATAAATTGAAGACGCTATAATGAATACCATAGTAATATGTCTCAGTCTGTTCGGGCTGCTATAACAAAATACCATAGACTGTGTGGCATATGAACAATAGAAATTTATTTTCCACAGGTTTGGAGGCTGGGAAGTCCCAGATCAAGACTCCTGCAGATAGCTGGTGAGAGCAGACTTCCTGGTCCATAGAGAGCCTCCTTGTCACTGTTCTCGCTTGGTGGGCGGGGCATGGGCCCTCTCTGAGGTCTCTTTTATCAGGTCCCATTCATGAGGGCTCAGCCCCAAATACCCATCGGAGCAAACATTGGAGACTATGTTTCAACATAGGAATTGGGGTGAGGAGAGGCACACATTTTCAGTCCATTGCATAAACCAATGCGGAAAAAGAGAAAAAAAAATCCCAGTTGTACTGTATTCTGTCAAACATAGCCAGAGCCCGGCACCGGCCGGCATTCAGTAAATATTTGTAGGGAGGGAGTGAGGGAGAAAAGAGAAGGAGGAAGGAAGGAAATGGAAAATTGTGAGCTGGAGAGATCACACTATTCACTCTTAACTGCATTAAAAAAATGTCCCCCTTTCCCCTCTAAAATCCATGGTACATTGGTTTTCCTTCTTTCTACACTGACGTAACTTTAACCATTTTTTTCCCCAAATAATATGCCTAAATTCAAATACCTCCTCCTGGCTGCAGCAAGAAAGAAATGTCAGTCCCTGTGATTTGTTCCTTTCCCTTGGTCTCTGCTCCATGAAGATACAAGTGTCTCTTCCACAGAAAGAGAGACATTCAGCACCTCGCCCACCACAGTGCTGCACTGTGCTAGCCACAGCCCTTGCTCTGGTGTGCTAAGGCTGCGCCGAAGAGTTTGCCGGGTTTTATTTAACAGACTCCTGACAGTTTCCCGTAGAAAGCATTTTCACGTCCAAAGAGAAAGATATCCAAAGCCACGCATCCAATCCCAGTACAGGGTGAAAGCAGAAACAGAAAACAGGGCTGAACTTATTTCAACACAGGAGCCAAAAAGAAAAATAAAGAGATGGAAAGGCACCAGCATCCTTGAAGCCCAGAGAAGCGAGGGCTGCCTTCTGGTCAGCATCTCCGAAACAGGTGCAATGAGCCACACAGCCTCAAAGACTGGGGGTGGGTGGGTGGGTGGGGTGGGGGGTGGGTGGGGTGGGTGGGGGTGGGTGGGGGTGGGTGGGGGTGGGTGGGGGTGGGTGGGGGTGGGGAGAAATGACAGCAGCAAGTCCGAACATTTTCTGTCTTCCGGAGATAACCATCCAGAAACATAAGCTGTTTGCTTTATCACACAAAATACAGCAAAATTCCAGCAAGTGACATGCAGCACCTTTTGTTTATTATTTGTCAGTGACGAATATGGAAAGCAGAATCTCTTAACACCAAGCACTGGAGACAGTGTTACCAAACACAGTTTAGGAGTTACCAACTGTTCTCCCTCCTCCCGTTTTATTCAGTCGCTCACCACACTTTCCTGCAATGGATTTCTTCCTTCAGTAACCTGTGCCCGTCTGCCTTCTCTGTATCATGGGGCTCCCTCTTCTGACTCCTCTATCGGAGGGCCTCTCTCTGCTCATCTCCTTCCCTCTGCCGACCATATCCTGGCTGCGTACTGCTTCCCTGTTCTATTTTTAGTCCTTTCCCAAGGCCTACTATTAAAAGTAGTTTATTTGGCCGAGAGGCAGGATTAGAACTACACTCCTTATTTCCATCAGCGAACCAAAGCCAATTCTGAGCTCTCTGCACGGCGGAAGAGTGGACTAGAGACCTTGCAAAAGCTCTGGAAAACAGCCGCTGCCTAACAAAGGGAAATGACCTTGGTTCACCTGAAGTCTTCTCTCCCCATTTTCCACCATTGTGAGCTCATCACCCAGGGGCTGAGACACCTGCCTCAGTGATTTCCCCAACTTGCCTCTCTAACACCAGCCGGTTCTCCCCACACCTGGTACAGCCAGGCCTGGGAACCGCTGCTGCTAATCAAAACCACCTGGGGGATTGTTAGACCTGCGTTCTTGGGCATCTCTATGAATATTCCAATTACGTGGGTCTGGGATGAGGCCCAGACATCTGCCTTTTAACTAACACCTGGGTGTTTCTGATGTAACTAAATATATTACAACCCAGTAATTGTGGCCCACGGTACTTAGGCCTCCACTTGAATGCCAGAACTACTTCCTAGTCAATCGGATTTAAAGCTTCTGGGCTGCCTTTGGCTCATTTCCTATTCATGGAGAAAGCAAAGTGTAACAGAGAGAATAAAGGACAGGCCTGGGATTGAATCCTTGCTCCACTGATGAGCTGTACGTATTTGCAGTTTAGATATTGGGGTAGCAGAGGGTAATTTGCGTTCTAAATGTTTCTATCGCCCTACCATCTCCCCTTTTCCAGTTTAATCCATGATATAGACCCGCCCCAACAAATAATAACACTTTCTTTTTGGCGAAAATTAATGGCCAAGAGTCGGACCTGGACTCAAGCGCGCCTATTAGAAACACTCACTGGCGTTGATCTGCAGAATTTGGGCGAATGGACCCATCTTTCAGCTGAGGTTGTCACAATACGTGACTCAAGCCTAGAGCTGTCTGCAGCAAAAAGAGGAAAATCCACAGGTTCATGTCTGAAGTCATGATTCTTGTATCTTCTATAATCCTCAAAATCACTACCGTTTAGGCCAAGAACCCCCTCCGCCTCTTTTCCCCTTTAAGTTGGTCTGGATGGGGTTGCTATCACTTTCACCGAAACAGTCCTAGTATTTTTCTCTAGGTGACCTTGAACACATCGTCTTCAGGTACTCGCCTCTCACACAGGGAGAATAGCCCTTACTGCATATGTTTTACTTTCACGAGGGCTGAATGAAGTGACATACAAAACAATGTCCAGCTGAATAAGGCACCCACAACCCCTGGTGCCCAATGAGTGGTACCTGTTCTCACCTTTCATGAAATTCCTCTGACCCTTCTTTCTGAAGCCATCCACTCCCCGAGGCTGTGATCTCTTGCTTAAAGATGGATGGATCCCCTCGTTCTTTCACCCCAGCTCCAGGCTGGACGCCGGTATTTCCCATGTGATGTCAGGGCTGCAGCTCCCGGGCGGGCGCCCGCATGTGCGTTAGAAAATGATGCTCCCGCCTGCACAGGCACCTGGAAGGGGGCCGAGGGTCAGAAGCTGTGCCAGTTAGGACAAGAGTGCCCCGGTTGGGCTAATGACACTTTGGGGGGACGGGATTTAGAACCCACACCCAGAGAGGGCACAGACATTCACAGTGTCTAGCTTGGGCTGCAGCCTCCTCTTCGGCTTTTACTTACTGGCGTGGACAATGCACCAGGAGCCAGCATCTGTCCCACCTGCTGCAATTTCTCCATGACCGGTGTCACCATCTCCCCCTCCCCCTCGGCACCCTTCCCATGTGTTCACACTATCTCAGGATGCTCTTTGCAAAGGTTGGGCTATGCAGGGAAGGCAAACGCATTATGTCCTGAGTCATTTACCTTTGACTTCCACCCCCGATGCCCTGAAACGGTCCCACCAAGGCCAGACTCCAAAAAAGAGTTTCATAATCATGAAAGGACAATGAAGCAATTTAACAATAAATACAGAGAGATACCGAGGTAGACTGCTGCTTTCACTCAGGGGGACCATTAAGCATGTTGAGAGCGGAGAGGTGGCACTCTTAGCTCTTAGCAGTGTTTGATCTTCTTTCAATGGTTGTAGCATTTGAAATTAACCAGCACCGCCTCCTCCTCGGACCCCTCTCACCTCCTCAGCGGCCCGGTTGTGACTCTGTCCTGTTTGTGTTCTTTCGTGTTTAATTTGTACTTGTCAATTATTCCCCCGTCCTTTTCTGTGTCCCTTAAACATTGGTGCTTCCCAGACGGCATCCCTGTCTACTATCTGTTCTCATTAAAGGATCTCCATTCCTGCGCATTTGGGTCCCAGTTCTGCTATCCCTGTACGGATCTCTGTCCCAAACTCTAGACACGTATGTGCACCTGCTAACAAGGCATTTTTAACTCCACACGTCAGAGGCACCTTGAACTCAAGAAGGCATAAGCCAATCGTAAAGCACCCATCTCTCTCCATCTGCCACCATCTGCCCACAATCCAATGCCGGGTGTTTTGGAGCCTCCCCTGCCTGTGGGAAGTGAAGGAGGGTACTGAGAGTCACTGGGTCACCAAACCTGCTTTTAAAATACCTCACAATCAGCCCCTCTCCTCCTCATCTCATTGCCTTAGTTCATGCCTCAATTTCAGCCCTTGGCATTGGTCACAGGAAGCTCCTCACCTAGGACAAACCTCTCCGATCACCCTGGCTGGGTGGAGCACAACTCCTCCTGTTCCTATGACAACCTGCCATTCCCTCCGGCCTCTGTTACAAAAGTGAGGCCAGCACAGCGGAGGCCACGGCCTCCCCCACCCACGGGCCTCCCCAGCTGCCGAGGGCGGAGTGTGCCATTGTCCTGTCGGCCTCCAGTACCAGAGCAGGGCTAAGACATCCACACTGGCAAATACGCTGAATCAGAAAGTCACGGCCCAGCCCTGGCTGGTGAGCATAGTGGTTAGACCCCATGCACCGAAGGATTATGAGTTTGATTCCTGGAAAAGGGCAGGTACCTGGGTTAGAGGTTCAATCCCCGGTCCGGAAACCAATAGATGTATCTCTCTCATATCGATGTTTCTCTCTCGTTCACCCTTCCTCCCTCCCACTCTCTCTAAAAATCAATGGAAAAAAATATCATCAGGTGAGGATTAACAACAACAACAAAAGGCATGGCCCAGAAGGAACTGGATCCAGACTGCTGAGACAGCACCTGACATCACCCCCTCAGCCAGCCCAAGGCGGAACCTCATGACCACTGCCTCCCGGAAGGAGCGAATTCCACACCCAAACAGGTTCCACACCTGCCGTGACGAGCTCCAGCTGTTTTTATTTGTTTTTACTCTTTCCCGCATTCCCCAGCTTGACTTCATTTCCATTCCCTCCTACACCCTCCCATACCCAGTGGTCTTTTTCTCCATCCCTTCCTGACTAAATCATACGTTTTTGTTGTTAAAAATAAGTATAAGTGCCTTGAGGCTTGCCCTGGCATCTGAGCCGTGCCATCCCCCACCTGAGCAGATGCTTTAACCTGGGTGCGCAGTGGCCAAGTCTCACCCCGGAGAGTCTGAGTTGATGGATCTGACCACCCACTGGGAATATTTTTAAAGGCCCCGGGCTCCAGGTGACTCTAATATGCAGCCAGTTGGACCATTATCTAGAGCCCCCATACTCAGAGTCGTTCCCCAGACCAGCGGTGTGCACACCCTCTAGGAGCTCACAGGACATGCAGGGGCTCAGGCCCTATCCCCACCTCCTGAATCAGGACCTGCACCTGAGACGGTCCCCAGGCGACTGTCTCCAGTGGACTTTTCAGAAATGCTGTGAAAGAGTCAGACAGACAGGACGTGGACACTACCTGGGTGAACTCAGAGAGTCTCCTGCCCTCAGTTTACCCATCTACAGGACAGTCTCACAGGGGTGACAGGAGGAGGAAGAGAGGTCATCATGACCAGCAGGTTCAGTGCCAGACCAAGTACTCGATAAGCGGTGGCTTCATAATGATTCTCCCTCTCTGTGTCGCCGTCCCTCTGCCCGCGATGGCCAGGACAGGCAGAGCAAGTCTCTTTATTCCCAGGGTGCCGACTGCATTATCCTGCGAAGCACAGACCACAGGACGCTTGCAGATGCCACATTCACATCCACATTCAACGTGTCCACTTTTAAACACACTGAGGGAGAGGTGGCAGCTCTCTTGATGTATCTGCAGCATCCGAAACACCGCCGTGATCTGGCCCGCTAGACACGCTGTCTCCCCGGTTACACAATCGCCACCCTCCTGAGGGGGCTGCACAGGGCCTGCACCCCGCTACGCAAGCAGTTTGTTTCAGAAGCTGCAGAGCGACTTGGCCCCACCGCGCCAGAGGCCGGCCTTTCCACGAGGTTGTAGGCGCAGTTTCAAGAGGCAGATCATTTAAAAACAATTATTGGAACTCAACCGGCTTTTGCAAGGAATTAATTTAAGGAATCCAAGGTGCCAGAGGGGTAATAGTGAAAGAGATGGGAGGGGGGTCTTTCTTATTTTTAAAGCAGTCTGGGATCTATTTAGAGAGGTTCCAACATCAGGGGCTGTGTCCAGACTGCAACCTAATACTTTATATTGCTCTCTCTCTGCAGAGTGCTAGCTCCCCTGTGATTGGACGAGGCTCTCTGAAAAGCTAACATTGAACTGGGACATCATAACAGCCTCGGGACATCAGAGCGGCTTGTGCTGCCCTGCAGGACGGGACGTTTTTATGTGCTTTACAGTAAGAGCTTCCATCTCTTCGGACAAAGGGGGGAAGCGCTTCCATGGTGGGTGGCCCCAATTAAACCCTGTGCCTCGTGAGTTTCCGCCGAGGCTGACTGGACGGCAGCCAGGCTGATTAGAAAGCAGGTACCTCAATGGCCCAGTGCTGCCATAAGGAAAGAGCCCTGGAAAACTGCTAAGTGACACAGAGGAAAATCATTACAATGGAAACGCCCCCCACCGTGGGCTCCCTCGTGCCTGAACACCGCCCACTCCTTCAGAATCGACTGAATATTGCTTTGTCCAACGAATTAACTGTACAGTAAATGAAAGATCTCTCACAAACACACAGCTTTGAACACCGTGATTTAATTATGAGACACTTATTTGGTTTAAAGTCACGTAAGGAGAATGCAGTCACAAACAAAACAAGGCCCTGGCCGGGTAGTTCAGTTGATCAGAGCATCATCCTAATACTTGGCCAAGGTTGTGGGTTAGATCCCTGGTCAGGGCGCATACAGGAATCAACCAACAAATGTGCACGTAAGTGAAACAACAAATCAATATTTCTCTCTCTAAAATCAATCAATCAAAAAAAAAAAAAAAAACCCTTCCCCCTAAAAGCAGATTAATTGCCACATATACTATAGAGCTGATGAGTACGTTTAATAGGAAGGATTTGCAGATATTATGTTCATTTAAAATAGTAATAAGTAGGTATGGTGACAAAACCAGTAAAGCAGTTTTTGAAAACATTGCAATATTAAAAAAAGAGTTATGAGAGAATAAGTACTTCATCAGCCACTTATCAAAGATAACGGCAGAGAACATGCTACCTTCCATCTGTGAACACTCTTTGATGTAGTTGAGATGGCATCGTAGGTACTTCCGTGTGCTGCTTTGTTTAATAGGATGACATGGAATATGTTGCAGGTATTACGGTTTACCTGTTGCAGGTATTACTGGTAGCATCGCTGCTAACAGCTGGGACACGATCCACTGAGCAGAACTCTGGAAGCTCCCTTGGGTGGGACAGCCGAGCTATAACGGGAAGCAGCAGCAGGGGCCTGCGGACCAGCACCTAGGATGGGGCGGCGAGGTGGGACTCACAGGCTCCCAGAGTTAGTCCGGGCCAAACACTGTGCAGGGGGCATTCACTAGGGCACCCCGTTCAGACATGCAGCGGCTCTATGAGCGAGTTACTACTCAAACCCACCCACCCTTTTTTAAGTCCTCCCCAAGGATATTTTTATTGATATTTTTGTTGTTGTTACGTGCCCCTAGAGGGAACTGAACCTGGGACTCTCTGGTCTGCAGGCCAGTGCTCCAGCTGCTGAGCCAAATCAGCCAGGGTGATGATTTTTTTTTTTTTTTTAAGAGAGAGAGAGAAACATCAATGTGAGAGAGAAACATGGATTGGTTGCCTCCCATATGCACCCTGACTGGGGATCCAACCCACAACCTAGGTATGTGCCCTGAACAGGAATCGAACACACAACCTTTTGGTGCACAGTACAATGCTCCAACTAATTGAGATGCTCAGCCAGGCCATTACTAATCCCCTTTACTAGATGAAGAAACTTGGGTTCATTGACAGTTGAGGTTACTGGCCAAAGTCACAGAGTTAGTGAGGCAGGGCCAGGATGGAGACCCAGATCTCCGCTTACCCCCATTGTAGGCACATGGTAATGCAGTCAAAAAAGCATGAGTTTGGCCCTGGCCAGTTGCTCAGTGGTTAGAGCATCAGCCCACAGACCAGGGAGTCCCGGGTTCAGTTCCTGCTAAGGGCACGTACCTCGGTTGCAGTTCGTTCCCAG